GGCATTATGCTAATATTTCCACATAGTGAGGTAGATATGTGGGGGCGTGTTTGAACGAGCCGTTTTAGGGGGGCGTGGCAGAGTCTTAACTTTGATAAAGAATATCTCTTTGGTTTTGAGACTTTAGTCTTTGCAACTTCAGGGATCTTATCTATGCACAATCAGCTTGTAACACTCCAAAGAGAAAGGAAAACTTGAAATCGCATCATATGACCCCTTTAACATATCGTAAAATATAGTTTTTGTGATGGCAAGAATGCATTTTCAGCATCATTACTCCGGTCTTTAGTGTCACATGATCCTTCAGAGATCATTCTAATTTGATGCTCAAGAAACATGTCTTATTATTGTATGTTGAAAACAGTTGCTTAATGTTTTTATTGAAACCATGAAAGACTACCATTCAAACGTCTGGGTTAAGTAAAATAGGGAAAGTTAAGTGACAATATATACATTTATAATATTTAAAAAAGACAATTTTATTCACAGTTGTATATTTTAATTTATTCACATTCATATATATTTGAATTTTTAAACAAATTGAATGTTTTTATTAAAATTAATCTTTCTTTTGTGTTTGTTTATACATATATTTCCAAGGATTAAAAACACAAGTGATACTGCATATCACCAGCAAAACTGGTTACCAGGGCATGTTTTGCATGAAAGATTTTACTCTACCAAGCAACCAGTTTATCTAGAAAGATAAAGCATGTTTTTTCTTGGCCTTTTTCAGAATGCCAAGAACGTGCAGGTATTGTGTGAAAGCATGCGGTACATAGAACTGAACTTCAAGAACGAATAAAAGACATAAACATAGTGTTGCTGTGACGACACTGCAAGTCAATTACTAATAACAGTCAAGATAGCAGTGTAAATCATTCCTCATATGTTGAGCTTTATTGTGTTTATTGATCTGTACAGGAGTCTTTGGAGAAAGCTCAGCTTCACGCTCAGCATGGTGACCAGCTCATTCAAAGTAACCACTATGCCGTGGACTCCATCCGGCCGAAGTGTGTCGAACTGCGGCGGATCTGTGACGACTTCTGCAATGATGCCAAAAAGAAACGTGAGATTCTGACCAAATCACTTGAAATCCACAAACGAATCGATGAGGTTCGTGAGACAACACAGATCCTGTCAAATTACCTGTTACCTTACTGTTATTAAAAACAGTAAGACTAGTTTCTGCATTATATATATCTTTATTTATTTTTTTTGCCATTTTAGAAAATGTAATTTCATATAAGAGTAAAACAAGAAAAAGGTTGAGGAAAATAAAGAAAAATATAAAACTGTGAATTAACAAAATTATATTTTGCAGTGCGTTTCAGAAGTATGACTTGGCAAGAATTGCACAATTGTGCTAATGTACTGTATATAGTATATTATTTATATACTATTCTATTATCTATTAATATTCTGAATTAGCTTATTCTTATATTTTCATTACGTTTTAATAATTTATGTGCTTTTGTTACTTTTTAATATTTTTATTTATTTTGAATGATTTTTATTTCAGTTTTAGTACTTTTAGTACTTGCATTTCAACTTATTTAAAATTTCACTTATTATAGTTGCTAAGGCAACATTTTTAATTTTTGTTCATGTTTTTCAGGTTTAGTCGAATTTTTACAAAAAATTTTCAGTTAACAAAAACAGTTTAGTTTAAGTTTTATACAGTAAAAAATGATTTTTCAAGCAAAGCAAGGATTAATGAAGTATGTTTTACAAGAAAATACTATTAAAATGTTTATGCTTAAAAATGTTGTTTAATTCAGTGTGTTACTACTTTTTATTTGTTTGTGAAATTTACACAATAAAAAATATGGTTTCTACTGCAATTTTTTTTTCAATGTAGATAACAAATAAAATGGCATGTGTGGGTGACTTAAATTTGATCTGTGTGCATAATAAATAAAAAACATTATAACAGCTTTCTTTAATAATTTTTTATGGGTTGTATAATATTGCCAAATTAAATAACCTGCATTGATGTGCCTGTGTTTGTGTGCTGGCAGGTGAACCAGTGGTGTGAGAGTGGAGTGTATCTGTTGGCCTCTCAGGCTGTAGACAGATGTCAGACCCAGGAAGGTGCAGAAGCAGCACTGCAGGACATCGAGCGGTACATGAATTCAGCCAAAGAGCAGCAGCTCAGTCACCTCAAAGACCTCAGCAACCAGTATGAGATTGTCCTCTCAGAGTGGGTCAAGGTACAAATGAAGCGGATTACAGTTGAATACATTTGCATACAGTCAAATCCAAAAGTTTTGTCTACATTATTCAACTACATTAGTTAACATGAACTAACAATAAAAGTTATTCTAAAGCATCAATTAATCGTAGCTAATGCTAATTTCAAAATGTACTAATACATTTTTCAAATCAAAACTATAATGAAAGTGAATGGTGACCAAAAATTTGACTATTATATTATGTAACTAACATTAATAAAGATTCATATTGTGGAGTGTTACCAAATTGTTTAATATAGAATATTATAAATTACATAATTATTATATAAAAAATATTGAAAATTATATTAATTTGAACTGAAATATTAAGATCCCAGAATTTATAATGTATTTGATATATCCTCCTTTTAGTGACAGCAGCACTTATGCTGCCTGATCTCTCATTATTCAATGATTGATCTAGAAATAGTACTGAATATTAAATATTTCTAATTTATTTCAAATCTAGTTCAAATTTTTCAAAAGGTTAAAACTAGATGAATCCCAGATTTTAAATTGTGTTTCAGACTTTTGGAGCCCACTCTAGATGTAATGATCATCTGTTTGTGATAAATAACTGATTTTATATACAGTATAATCACTTTTATCTCATCCCATGCAGGGCAAAGCTCAAACCGCTCTGAAAAAGCTAGATGACGTTCAAGAGATGTTTGACAAAAGACATGCAAGTCTGAAAAAGCTTTCTGCAAAGCAAACAAGGCCAGTGCAACCAGTTGCACCTCGACCAGAATCTTCACCAAAACGCACTTTACCTAAAATCCCACATCACACTGCACCTAGTAAGTAAAAAAAAAAAAAAACAGGTGTATGTTGACTGAAATGCATACATGTCCAGACTACTAGTGGTTTAATGGTATATGTTTGTAATCTTATCACTTAACCTTTATTTTCCAGAAGCATGTCCTCATTTCAGGTTCATAACCTGAGTATTAAATGCTCAGACTTTGTATCCTGAATAATTTAAGTGGAAAATATGAATGCCTTCCAGCTTGTTTAACTCAGTTTTAAACTCAACAGCATCAAATCGCAAAGCTACCGAAAACTCCTGCCCCAGTAAGCAGCCCAGTGACACAGAGCTGGCAAAAAGGAAGAATATTCGCAAAGCCAAAGGTGGCATCAAGGTATATCAGTTTGTGTCAGTTACATGGTCACAATGCCAAGATCTGTCATTTAACTCTAGATGGTGCAGGCTGATGGGTCGTTAATTCAGACGGATGATATTCCAGCATTAAACTACTTGGCACAAGCTGATTGGTTCATGTTGCATACGCAGCCAATAAGCTTGCTGCTTTACATTTTAAATGGTTCGTTAGCATCCACTAAAGCATTTCGCAGTGCGCTTTCAGAGTTCCTCTGAAACCCTCCACCTCCCCAGCTCCACCTGTATAGCTCTACTACAGATTATTATATATGCTACTTGTGCAGCAGCAGTATGTCTTTAATACTCACAGCACCGTATCTGCATATGTATTAGCAGTAGCAAGTTCCTGTACTTGCTTTGCAGCAGCAGCAATAATCCACAACTACAGCAATAACCAACAGCAGCAGCAGCGTAGCAAATCTATTCCGCCAAGACCAAATACTGTACATTGTCTTATCGATTATCATGCTAAATTCTTCAGAAGGTTGTCATGATAGAAATGTTTTTTTTTAAAACATCTAATAAGCATTTGTATGTATAAAAACCTATTTAGCCTGGGATAAGATCTTGCCTTTAAAATATTTTACTGTATATCATTATTACACATTATACATTCAGCTCAAACATAAAGCCATTTTCTTTCATTTGAATCCTTTATAGTTTTTGACCAGCGTGTTCTGTCTTCCTGTGGTTTCTCACAGATTGAGGTCATGCATGAAGGAGGGCAAGGGGGTTCGAGTCTTGTCCTCATGAACAATGAAACCGAAGAGTCGCTTTCAAACAGACGCAGGTAAGAACGTGTCTTCTGAGAAAGAGCGTCTCACAAGATAAGGTGAAGTATATTAAGCAGTGTCAGAGATCCTCTTTATGAAAAGTACAACACTGTTTTACCCACTTGAATTGATTTTCAGGGACTTATTTTATAGCTAGATTAAAATGTGTCTTGAACATGTAAATCGAAATCAATTCATTTGAATTACTTTATCAATATGAACACATTTCTTCTAATATTTATATATTTTAAGCCTTTTTTTCAATTAATGATTTATTTTTTTCAGTTTAGTTATATAATAACTAAATATAGTATATAATATAAATAATAATAAAATTATTACAGCAGAGCAACATTTATTCATTACTCGTTTTGCAGTTTAGTAGAGTATATTAAGCAGTGTCAGAGATCCTCTTTATGAAAAGTACAACACTGTTTGTACCCAAATTGATTTTCAGGGACTTATTTTATAGCTAGATTAAAATGTGTCTTGAACATGTAAATCGAAATCAATTCATTTGAATTACTTTATCAACATTTCTTCTAATATGTATATATTTTAAGCCTTTTTTTCAATTAATGATTTATTTTTTTCAGTTTAGTTATATAATAACTAAATATAGTATATAATATAAATAATAATAAAATTATTACAGCAGAGCAACATTTATTCATTACTCGTTTTGCAGTTTAGTAGATATATTATCACAGACTTAAAGAGGCAGTTTACCCGAAAATGAAAATTCACAATTCACTCCGCCTCAAGTTGTTCCAAACACATTCAACAACACTCATCTTTGTGAAAATGGCCTATTCTGCCAATTGGGCAAAATGAGAATAAGAAACTGTGACACCACCAAAGCAGTGACTCAAACTCTAATGGTTTATGATGACACGTATTTGATCACACATCTGATGCCATTTCTGAATGTACAGGATTAACTAGTTTGTCAACATATCTTATATCTCACTCAGAACATACAGCACAGTACATCACATATCTGGTTAATGTCTCAGGATACAGCATTGTTGACATCAAACAGGTCAAGAAACATTTAGCTGATGGGTCTCAAATACTGTTCTTTTGCATGACACACTCTCTCTTGTATTTTGCACTACTACGACTATGGTTTCTAATTACTCGCTGCTTCTGCTTTTTACATTATATTCCACCATATATAGGTCGTTTCTGTTATGTGGTGTAAGTTGTGAATTTTATATTGTGAAACATCTGGTGTAGGGCATTTTTGCCCTGTAAAACCAAAGTGTGATTTTGTTCAGATTTTGGTTTTTGTAGCTTGTAGCTGATTTTTGGTCACTGATGGCTGAGCAAACTATCAGACTTCATGCTGGTATCTGGCGCAACATACTTTTTCATGTGCATACTGATGTCTGTATGACCTCTGCTTGTAGAAATATCAGTCTTCCTGAAAAAGTCACTCAGCACCTGTCAGAGTATTACTACGTTTCTTTTTTTACCGTTTTTAAGGAAACCTTCTCATAAAAATAATTGTAGTAACAAACAAGTTTAATAGAGTCAGTTTAATTTTAAAATGATCTCAATTTTACACATACATTTTAGTTGCGCTTACTCAATGTTTTTTAGTTATATGAACTTATACCAGGACATTATCCATTAAAGGGATAGTTCACCCAAAAATGTAAACTACCCCATGATTTACTCAAGCCATCCTAGGTGTATATGGCTTTCTTCTTTCAGATGAATACAATCGGAGTTAAATTAAAATGTCCTGGCTCTTCCAAGCTTTATAATGGCAGTGAACTGGTGTTTTGTTTTGCTCTCTCCTCTGCACTTCCGCGTTCATCACTTCTTACCGGAGATTATACTGCGCCTATGTCATGTGTCATCTGCTGGAATGTCACTCTTTCTCGTGAACGCATGAATGGTAATTTTCATTTCTGGGTGAACTATCCTTTTAATATTTAACCCTAAAACACAACGCAGATACAGGTAAAACACCTGTAAAAACTCAATAAAGAAAAAACCTTAATATTAATTCAGTACATTGTGCTCTGTGTACATTTTTATTTTTTTTACAGTGCAGTTATGTTGTTCACAGGGCTAGATTTACCTCTTATTGTGACATAGGCAAAAACATTTTTGGGTCCCTGTTCCCTATACTATTACCATCCAAAAACAGCAAACAACATTCATCATAATCCGTGGAAACCATTGCAGTGTTCTCTATCACAGAATCCCGTTGCTGTTTACAAAATGTTGTTTATTATACAGCTACTAATGGAGGCTTGAGCTATTAATATGCTGACTAATGCAGCTACTAGAGAGAGAGAGATTAAGTCTGAGTCTGTGCGTCTCTTAACCATGTCCGGCATGCAGCAGCTCTACCAATAGCGAATATGTTATATATTAATGCCTAGAATGCCAATGCATAAATGTGCATGTGCATTTTAAGTTCCTGTTGCACATGTGTGCATGCAAATGCATTGAACAAATAGGGAATTTACTTTATACTACATTGATATTAGCACAGATGTCTTATTGAGTCAAACAACATACACTTTTATTCATGTCCCCACCCACACCAACCACAAGCTCTGCTCTTTAGCATTTTAGAAACCACTAAAACTTCACCGTAACAAAAACTCTTTCAAATGTCAAACACTTAACGCTGAGGGGTCTTTCTCTTTAAATAAATAAATAACAAAACAGCACGTAATTTCCACATTTACTGTCCTGATCCAGCTTTAAGCATGCTGAGAACTAAAAAATTCCTCGTTTAGTTTCAGTTAATGCAACCAAAATGTAGTTTCAACACAGATGGATTAGGCAAACATACTTTTCAGTAATTGCGTTTCTTTAGCTTATTATAATTACCTAAACTTAAGTCGCAGCAAAAATAATTTGAGTATAGGAGGTTGTTAATATAATCTAGAAAAAAAATTATGTGGTACAAGAGGAGTCAAAGAGGGCCAAACTGCTTTAAAAATGATGGAATTAACACTTTAATTGATTTTAATTCAGAATGATAGTGGGAAATAAAAACACTTATGGCAATGTACATTTTTGGCAGTGTTTTCGCATACTGAAGCTTCATTCCTATTCTAATTATTCTTAGTGGTGATTCTTATTATATTCTGTAATACAGTAATTTCACATTAAAGTATGAAGAATAATATTGTTTGTATTTGGTTGATGAGATTGAGGGTTAGTTGTCATGATAATAATGTCACAATGCAATAAATCTCAAAAGGCTTTGATTTATTGTTGTAAAATGTAACTTGTTAAAATCTTCATTCACAAGTAGCACCATAAGTTCATTAAAATGTTTGAAAGCTTTAAGCAGAAGCATATGACATTTGCAACATGAAAGAAAGTTAAGACACACTCTCTAATAGCATGCCACAGTGAAACCAAGCCAAAATGTAAAATGCCCATTTCATCCCACAAAAAAGATGGCTGTTATTAGGGCCATAAATGATTTTTTGCCAAGTGGAAGTATGTCCATGATGATAAAAACAATTTAAATAAATAAATTAATTAAATGCTAATATTCATTTTCTCGTTATCCTTTTTTAGGTTTTTAATTCTCATTCTCAGTTCATGATAATTCTTAGTATTTTTCATAACTGTAATCATACACTACAGTAAAATTACTATGATATTTTTTTCTACCATGACATAAATTCTTTTGAAATAATATACCATTATTTGTCTTGCAATACAGAGATGAGAATAACTCATTCCTGCTCTCTCGCCCTACACTGTCCATGGAAAAAAAATAATTTAAATAAAAAAAGTGCAAAACAAATGCTTAGGGCGCACAGCTTTTAACTTTATTGGGAACTGACAAAATGTTTACCATTTAAAGCAAAAGTAAACCATTGAGAGAAAAAAAATTCAATACTGCTCGGACTTCACAGTGCGTCATGTAAAAGCTGCCATGCATGAATACTTGTTTGTAAAGTACGGCTTACAAAGCAGCGTCATTTTCACAGCCGTACAATAGAGTTTCCCAACCAGTCCAGACGAAATACTTTTTACCTGCGGGGCGGTCGCAACCTTCCACAGATACCTGATATCGTCCTCGTGTCCATGAGAGGTGATCATTTTTTCATAGATGCACGGGTGATAGGGCGTTTTTCCCTCACCCGAGAAATAAACATGTTCCTGAGGCGAGACGCCCGCTGCAATGGCACAGATACCCATGAAGACGTCATCGATATACATAGAGGCGTTCAGAGACTGCGTGGCCTGATATATTTTGGCTGCCACGTCGCCAGAGACCACGTACCCCGCCCCGGCGGTGTAATCTGGGTAGGAAGACCACTGGTACATGTCGAAGGGCATATAGTATTTACTGTCCCTGCGGCGAACGGGAGGCGCCCCCCTGTGAACGTGGCCGACCCAAAGGTTGCGCACTTTCTGTCTTCTGAGGTCCTGAAGGTAGCGCACCAGGTTGGGCAAATGGATGAAGACGTCGTCGTCCGCAGTCATGAGGAAGCGGGCATGGGCGCAGTTTTCGTGTGTCCAGCGGAACTGAAGCAGCAGTTTCACAGTGAGGTTGTGGAATGTATCAAGGAAGTCCTGCTGAACCAAGTCACCGTGGTTCATGTGCTCCTTGTGCAATTTGTCCTGCAGTGAGCTATTAAAGCGCACCACAGGGTGAACTCCCATAGCAAACACTAATTTTACGATAACGCCCAGCTGGTGACTTATGTAGGACTCGTTGCCCCAAGTGGAGCGAATGGCCTGTCGTCTTCTGAAGTTTCCTGGGGAGGACTTCACGAAGAGGAGAAGCAGCACGTCTTTGTCTTTACAAACGCCCTCGTTGTTCAGCAAATAGGGGAAGCTACCAAACCTGGCGGCTTCCTTTGGGCTGACGCTGAGGCTTTTGTTGATGAAATCGTAGCTGTTGATTAGGTAGCGGTAGGAGTAGGACTTCACATGGCTCACGACGCTGTGGTCCACGTGGTCCCAGCAAACCATAAGGACTGACATGACACAGCACATGGAGACAAGCTGTAGAAAATGCCATTTTCTCACCCTTCTGCAATTCATGAACATTCTGCTAAGCTGCGCACGCTCTCAACCCCTCTCTCTTGTCAAGTCCAGTAATGCAATCTAGATGTACTGCTCTCGATGATTTTCCAGGACTGGGTTTGCCTGAGTTCCATCGTAGTCATATCAGTGCAGATGTGCTGGCCTACCGGAAGCGTTAACCCAAAACATTTTTCGCCTTTTTGTGTCCTTTTTATTACACTTTACACAAAATGTCTGTCGGTCCAGAAAATCCACTGTATGGCATTAACACTGCATTTGTGTTCTGTAAAGAAAGAAGAATGATTATCTCAAAACAGGGATTGCAATGATTTAAAACTAAAAATGATTTAAAAAGACAAAAAATAAAGACAAAAAATAAAAAAAATGACTAAAAAGACTTAATAATAATAATAAAAAATTTAATATATATTTATTATATATTTAAACTCTAAACACTGTGTGTGTGTGTGTGTGTGTGTACTGGTATATATGGTTTATGAGAACACAAATGTGTATAATGACATGGGTACTACAATGTAAACATGGTTTATGAGGACACTTCCTGTGTCCCCGTAAAACAAAAGGCTTTTATGAAATAAAAAAATTGGCAGTAGTTTTCTGTAAGGGGTAGTTTTAGGTGTAGGGTTGGTGTAGGGCGATGGAAAATACAGTTTATACAGTATAAAAACCATTATGCCTATGGAGAATCCCCGTAAACCACAAATGCAAGTGTGTGTGTGTGTGTGTATTTACACACACTACCATTAATGAAAAATTGGGGTCAGTAAGATTTTTTATTTTTTTTGAAAGAAGCTTCTTAGATGCTATCCAGTAGGGATGCACCGATAACACTTTTTCCAGTACTCGCCCGATACCGATACTTTTATTTTTGGTACTTGCCGATACAGAGTACCGATACCGATATTTTTATTGCATTTGTAAATTTTTTAAATATTGGGTACAGAAACCAAAAGAGTATGTATAATGTTAGTTGGTTAACTTCATTTATCAAATAGATAGTCAAACCTAAATTTATTCAGACACCTTCAACATTTGTCACATTATTACAGTTTATTTGCTATAGTTTAGAAAATGGTAATAAAATATGACAAGAACTCAGAGTTAAACTGTGTCAGAACAAATTCAGCTTGATAATGTTAGATAACTTTGATAGAAAGGCATGTAATGGATTACAATCAACCCAAAATTATTCAGACAGCTGTTAGTATGACAGTATTTACACAACTATGAATACTTAGCCGGGCAACCCTTAGCCTTAATGACAGCCTGTAGTCTCCTGGGCATGCTGTCACCCAGCTTCATGAAAACCTCAACTTCGGGTTTTTTTCCCAGACTCGGTCTGAATAATTTTTGGTCCCAAATTTGTATCAGTGCTAAGTGAGTGAACATCAAAGTTCACACAACAGAAGTGTGCACGCTCTCTCTCTCTCTCTCTCTCACTCTATCCCTGCCGCTAAGTAACTTGTGCATTGTTTTATCCGACCGAACTACAAACTTTTCAGTGATGTCTATGAGAAAGGTATATTCACTCGACAAGCTCGCGCATCTGCGCTGCCGCGCACTCAATCCACTCAGCGTGCTTTGTTTATCAGCTCGCGCACATCAGCTATACAGGCGTTAATACTGAAAGTTTAACGTTATATTCGTTGCATACATATACTTCGTAGCAGACATCCTTAACTCCATTCTGCTGTCTGTTGTTCTGTTGTCGGTGTTTCATTGTCTGAATATGGCGCTTATCACATGCTGTGTGGTATCGGCGTTTGGTATCGGGGCATTTTAACGAGTACGAGTACGAGTACGAGTACAGGAGCTCAGTATCGGGCCGATACCGATACCGGTATCGGTGCATCCCTACTATCCAGGGCTGCTTATATTTGATAAAAAATACAGTAAAAACATAAATATTCTAAAATATTATTACAATTTAAAATAACTGATAATCTATTTTTGTATATTACATCTTATTGATTCCTGTGATGGCAAAGCTGAATTTTCAGCAGCTATTACTCCAGTCTTCAGTGTCACTTGATCCTTCAGAATTCATTTCTGATATTCATTTCTATATATCTTTTTTCAGGATTGTATTCTGAATAAAACATTCGAAAGAACTGCGCTGATTTGAGCTAGAAATCTTTTGAGTAAACGTAAAAGCCTTTACTATCACTTTTGATCAGTTTAATGCATCCTTGCTAAAAAAAACAAAAAAAACACTTTTAATTTCAATGCAGTCACATATAAGCCATTTGCTTTCAAAACAACATTCCTCTTTAACAAATGCTGCCTGTTTGCATCATTTGTTGCGAGAGCTCATTGAAAACCTTGACCATGTGGGGAGACTCGGCGAATCGAACTTGTTAATGAAAGCAATCGTCGACTCAGCGCTACGCTGAATAAAAGGATTTAAACCACCGAACACGCTGATGTGCTGAGTGCTGTACAAAACATTCACGACCGCAAAAAGACCATTACAGCAGCAAATCTACTCAAAAGGCACAACACAACAACAATGCATGTCATAATATCCCACACCCTAAATAGCCGAGTGCCATGAGCAGAAGGGATTGTATGACAAACTGGATGTGCAATTATTAGTTTCACATTAATCTGCATGACCATCCATCCCATTTTTAGTAATTTTGATTAAAACTTGCCTACATTTATTTCTTTATTACAAATAAAGTTTATATACATAAACATATTGTTAATGTAGATTTGAATACATTCTGCTTTGCTTTACAAGTGAAACCTTCACTAGCTTTACAAGTGAATACCTTCACTACATTTTCATTTTCACATGTGAATTTATTCAGTAATTTCAACACGGTTTCATGCTGACATGCCTTTAAAAAGTAAATTTAATCTTCATGACCTGTTCAACTCCTCTGTTTAATATGCTCATATAGCTCACCTTAGCTAACAGTTTCGCCCACTATATCTCAGTGATCACAATCTCTTTCTTTTGACATGTTATCATCAGCTATGTGTATTTCATTTACATTTTAAATATCATAAAACTCTCCCTAAGTGACTCATTTGAAAACCACTCCAAGCAAAAGTTCATATTTTAATAGCACAGTCAATCATATGATACTGACACCGTGTTTAAAAGAACAGACTTTTAGGCTTGGTGCTATCATTCATTCACTTTCAATACTCAGACTCAACAGTAATGGTCTTTAAGGCTTGACACAACAGTGGAAAGACATTTTGCACTTCCAAAAGTTAAATCTCTTAGCTTTTTTTCCAGAAAGATCTCCACACTTAGTCAAAAACATATGACTTACCATTGAGGCCCATCCATGATGTAGTAAATGTGCAAAAGTATTTGTTTTTAAGCCCTGGACCTCAGTCGTATTGTGGCAGCTGTACTGAAAGCAGTAGTGTGTAGCTGCTGGTGGAGCTTGTATTTGAACGGGAGTGTTTCCTGATGAGTGGGGAGGGGGAAAAGGACATGCCTCTTCTTAAACATTGGCCAACTTTATCATATGAACAAATTGTGAAAAGAGAGACTTCTCTGACAGAATCGTGGAATTTGGGTCATCTGATTCACATAAACAGACTACACCTCAGCACAATAAATGCAATTCATCGGTGTTAGAGGAGAAGTGGATGAGGGTCAATATCACTGTAGGGTGCCTTTTTGGTGTCCTGTACATAACTAATTTGCCATGATAACCTAATATAAAAATGACTATGAAAGTGTGTTATATTAGGCTAAGTTTTTATATTAACAACAAAAGCATTACTTGGCTCTTTAGATACATTTTCTAGATTTTTTTTGGTTTTGTGTAAGAGGATGTGTTATTTTGCTATGTCCCATGCACTGCTCATTAAATTTGAATGATAGTAGAATAATGTCAAATCATAAACTTAAAAAAAAAAATCATATTGATATTTTGTTAAATAAGAGATTACTCAATTTGAGTGTATTGATCATTTAGTAATAAAAACTAGGGATGGGCGTATCGATCCGAAGTATCGATATATCGATACTGATGCGAGTATCGAAAGTATCGATACTCAAACAAAAAATATCGATACTAAGGTGTGTTTTATTTACCAGTGATTTTGTTTATTTAACAAAAAAATTATAATGTGTACAATATGCATTGAATTGCACGAATAGCCTTTGTTAGCGAGTAATTGTGTAGGATTGAACTATTTTCCTGCTCATCTGAACGCACACAAATGTTGCAAGACAGAACTAATCAATCAGAGAGCGTTCACTCACTTCTGACAGTGCATTCAAACAGGGCTGCGTTTCCCAAAAGTATCATAAGAAAGCATTAAAGCTTTTGGGAATGGCAGCCCTGAACAATGCTTATCAGAGGACAGAAGGACAGAGTTATTTCACAATAAACCAACTGAAATTGTAGCCTACATAGTTTGTGCAATTACAGTTATTTAAATCGAACGTTGAAAGGTAATATTGGTCATGTTCTATTCTGTAATGTTAATAGAAATCATACACTGTCAGAATAAAAAGGTTGCATTTTATGCCAAATTCTCTTCAACAACCAGACTAAATATTTAGCTAGTCACAGTTCGTTGTAAGCTAATATGCTAATTGGAGCTCAAATACTCAAATACATACTGAAGCTTCCGTCTTAAACAGTGCCTCTCATCACACCGATGTTCTGACCTTTGTTTGACAAAATAATGAAAGCTTTTTTGTTTTGCCCTTTCTCAACAGCCACATAATGAATGAATTGATTGAGACGGAGAGGCTGTACGTGGAAGAGCTTCAGAGCATCATAGAGGTACATGTATCTGAAATGAAAGAAACAGGAAATGTTGCAAAAATGCACGCATTGTAAATACATGCACTGTTCAAAATTTTGATTTCAGTAAGATTTTTTTTTTTTTGAGAAATGGACGCTTTCATTTAGCAATGATGCATTAAATTGATCATTGACAGTATAGACTTTACAAAAGATTTAGATTTAAAATGAATTCAAATGATTTTCTTTTTCTTTTCTTTTTTTTTTTGTCGTTGTTGTTGTTCATCTAAGAATCCTGAAAAAATGCACCACAGTTTCCACGAAAATATTAAGCAGCACAATTGTTTTCAACATTGATTATAATAAGAATGTCTCTTGAGCAGCAAATCAGCATATTAGAATGATTTCTTAAGAATCATCTAACGCTAAAAAGTAGTAATGGATGCTGAAAATTCAGTTTTGCATCACAGGAATAAATTACATTGTTTCAAAAATGTAATAAATTGCTCAGAATCTCACACAGCTCATACAAATCACAAAAAAGACTTGATTTTTAGCAGATGGTCCTTGTCCGTGATTTGTCAGATTAATAAGTATTTGCTGAAGTTCAGTTGTTCAAGTAATGTAAATGTATGTCAAAACAAGTGCATCAGCTGTAGTTATATTAGTTAAACATCTGTTGTGCAGTGTTGAAATATTTGACTGTGGTTTTGTTTGTCGTGTTTATTTTTGTGCAGGGATATGCCGCTGCACTGGATGACCCCGAGCTGATCTATTTGATCCCTCCATCTTTGGAAAACAAGAAGGAAGTACTCTTTGGAAATCTGCCTGAAATCTACGAATTTCACCAGAAGTAAGGAAACGGAAACTTTTTGACACATGTCGTAATTTCCAACTTAAGGACATTATAGACAGTTTCTAGCTGGTCAGGACTAAGGTAGACCACCTTGGACAAGCAACAAACTTGCTACCGTACCACTTGGTTGATCAGTTTGCACCAGCTACGTAGAAACCAGCTGCCATGTTCCAAAACCCGCTAGCAGCTCAAGCTGGATTTTCCAGAAGGGACTGTGCCCATGTCCAGTATGAGCCAGACCCTCCCCCAACGTGACCCCACATTCCTGACGAGACTCTTAGGACAAGTGGTTAGGCTAGTTTCTTTTCTGATGCTTCCCTATAGTGGAAACTTCACACCCTAATCATCTTATCCACAAGAGTTTTTTGAATAGTGAGCCAGAGACAAACAATAGTATGTCGGGAATGGAGGTGTGGTGGGTTTTGTGGCTTGAAATATTGGATTGTCACTAAAAGTCCATAGGGGTTTCGCGGGCCCATTGTTCGGCTGGCCTCATGCTACCGATTGTTGTTGTAGAGTTCATTGTCTCCCACCTGGTGTCGAGTTACAGCAAAGTCCAGGATTATGACAATAACAACCCCCATAGCGGGTTTGTGTGTCTGTCTCCCCATATGTCTTTCCTCAGCACCTGTTTCTACCGCGTCAATCGGGTGCAGATAAACAGCCGCTAATCATTGCCCATCATTCCCAGCTGCAGCCTTGTTTTTCAGTCACTGAAACATGTCATCATGTCAGTAATGAAAAGCGTGAGTCCTCAGAGGCTTTTGTGTTTGTTGTTGATATTGGATATGCTGTATTGATTTGTTTGACAGAGATTAAATATAAACAGGCTTTTCTTAGGAATAATCATGTAAGGATTCTGTGAAAGGAGAGAAGAGGGATAGTTCACCCAAAAATTGTGTCATTTCTCGCATGATTTTCATTATATGTAAAATCAAAGGTTTAGTTTAAAAAAGTTTAGAAGAATGTTAATGCTACGCCTTCCCATATAATGAAAGTCAATGGTGACCAAAAATTGGACTTTAAAATATTATATTATATTATATTATTTTTATTGTGCTTCTTTGTGGTTTTTGGAGCTTTACAGTCTCTGGTCCTGGAAAAGAGCAGTGCGAACTGCTTTTCCCTGCCTTTTGTCCACTCATTACCTTCAGTCATTCATTTGTTCCATTCTATTTTGACAGGACTTTTCTCAAAGAGCTAGCAAATTCTGTGGAAAAGCCGGAGTTAGTAGGAACATGTTTTTTGAAGCGGGTGAGTGACGTTATGGTGATGTGCTCTGTGAAATACAGTACAACTATAGTATGTGAAATGGGATCCTAAGACTTGTCTCCATCTGCTGTCTTACAGAAGGAAGAGTTACAAATTTATGAGAAATATTGTCAGAATAAGCTACGATCGGAGGCTTTGTGGCGGCAGTGTGGGGACAGTATGTTCTTTCAGGTGAGGCTTATATAAACACACCTATATATACGCAGTATACTATTCAAAAGTTTGGGGTCAGTAAGATTTCTTAATGTTTTTGAAATAAATGCAGCCTTGGTGAACATAAGAGAGGTCTTTATGTAATCAAAAATGCAGTAATATTGTGAAATATTAATATAATTTGAAAAACGTTTTTTCCTTTTTTTAAACCTATTTTAAAATGTAATTTATTTCTGTTACGCAAAGCTACATTTTCAGCGTCATTCCTCCTCATTCTGATATGCTCATTTTCTGATCAAGTAACAATTATTATTATTGTCAATATTGGAAACAGTTGTGCTGTATAATATATTTGTGGAAAACAGTGAAACATTTTTTTCAGGATTCTATACATTCTAATTAGGGGTGGAACGGTTCAACTTACGGTTCGGTTCGTATCACGGTTTTAGAGTCACGGTTTCGGTACAGTTCGGTATGTGCTATGTTTAGGAAAAACTATACTGTCAAATAAACATAAGGAAAATAAGAATAATCTATCTAACTACAGGCAACAGCACAAATAAATACAATAGAGTAAAGATACAAATAAAATAAACAGTGATTTTCAGTTTTTTTTTTAGGTAGGTCTAACATTAGTTTTTAGGTACAGAAATTGAATAAAGTAATGAAATGTAAAACAGCAGTGCATATTTGACTGTATAAATTAAAGATGAATCTTTATTAAAGTTACAAAAGCTATACAATCAAGAGCAGTGAGTGATTTCTTTTTTTGTTGCTGTTTGATTAATATTAAGAAAGTGCTGTCACTTTAAGAGAATGCACTGATACAGTAAGTTCAGCCGGCTATGTCTGCTATAGGATACTTACCAAGACGGCATTTTGACATAATTTTTGTGTGAATTTGTCCATTTAAACAATACTTCAGAGATAGATTAATATTTGCGCGCATTCTGAGGCACGGGCTTGCATGCTTCGAATGAGCGCACGCACAAATCTTCTCACTGCACGCGTGAGCTCGCATCCTCTGGCTGAGACTGACTCTTAAATGTTTAAACTGGCGAAGCTCAAATGAGTTTAGATTAAACACAGATATCAACGTGTGCTGTTCAGGTCTCACCTGTGCGCGTGCGCTATCAGCACCCGGGTGATGACGGAATAAATGCTCATATTCCAGCATACAGCATTCGCATTGAACAAGAGTGAATGGTTTGCCCACGTTTTTTTTTTTTCATCGCTGTTGTTGTAATTTGTATTTGGAAGCCAGAATGCGCATCCATCAACAGAAACATACATTAGCCGAACCCTGTTTGTTTTACGTTTTATTTATAACAAACCATATTACAGATAAGTTGAACCGCAGTCCTAGCGTGTGCCGAACCGTGTGGAGACCCGTATGGTTAGATTTTTTTCCACGAACCGTTCCACCCCTAATTCTGATACTCACTTTTGATCAGTCCTCGCTAAATAAAAGTAAATTTTCTTACAAAAAAAAAAAAATTTATTGACCCCAAACTTTTTTTTTTTTTTTACTAAACAAGAGTCCCTTCCCTAGTAGAAAACAACTAGCTCCCTTTCAAATGTTAAAAGAGCTTTTAATGATTTTTGAACGTAGGAGTGTCAAAAAAGGTTGGATCACAAGCTTTCATTAGATGCGTATCTGCTAAAGCCTGTGCAGAGAATCATCAAGTACCAGCTGATGTTAAAGGTAAGTCTTTTCCCATCTTTTTCAGTTTGTTGCATATGTTTGTTTGTATATCAAGGTGGAGATCTCTCAGTTGACTTTTTATTTATTTTAAATTACGCTAATATACTAACCCTTAACTTTCACCCATTTTACATGTAAAATAAGACATTGTTTTTTCACACACATTTCTCGATCCACTCATTTTACAGGAGATGCTGAAGTGCAGTAAGAACTCAGAGGGCACCGCAGAACTGGAGGAAGCTCAGGCCACAATGCTGGATATCATCAAATCAGTCAATGACTCCATGCATCAGATCGCCATTACTGGTTTTGAGGTTTCTGCACATTACATTATGTGTATCACAATCATTTGCATGTTGAACAGATACGGTATTTGAAGGTCAATATTTTGCATGGTGTGCATCTGCTAATTTAAGTCTTATATGGGATTTCAGGGCAATCTGAATGATTTGGGAAAACTGCTCATGCAGGGGTCGTTTAATGTTTGGACAGACCACAAGAAAGGTCACAGTAAAGTGAAGGACTTGGCACGCTTCAAACCCATGCAGAGACATCTCTTCCTCTACCACAAAATGCTTTTGTTCTGCAAGAAACGTGAGGAGACATCTGATGGCCATGAGAAATCCCCCTCCTACAGTTTCAAACACTCATTAAAGGTGGGACCGACACCATCAGAGATTTGTGCATGAAAGTAATGAAATAGTTAACATCTGATTATACAGAATGAGCTTCATATCTTACACTGAAGGCATATTTTGTCCTTGAACAACGTGGCAATTCCTATTTGCTCTAAGTTCTCATTTATTTTCAGAGCAAGTATTTGACATCTTGATTGTGACATTAGACATCAATTTAAAATATCCCTAGTAGTTGTCAGCTGGTTGTGCCTCAGGTTTTACATTAAGTGGAGATTTAACACACACACACAGACACGTGTGTGTATACATGTAGATTTCAATTTAGATTTAATTATTTGATTAAATTAATAATTTAATAGTTTTTATCCTCTCTTTATCCTCTTTTTTTAGAGTTGATAAGCCTATTTATTTAATATACTGTCATAATATTGTAAATTATCTTATGTATAGCATTTTTTCCATGCTGATGTGACCCTGTCATAAGAAATTTGCATCTAATTTTGAGTCATGACTTCGCTATAGAGCAATCATTTCCATCTAAATCATCATTATCAGTGTATCAAAATGATGAATAGTGAATTATATGTGGGCCACGCTAAAAATAAATACATTTTAGATCATATTATATTTGATAAGTTGAGAAACTGATCAGTGATGTGTTTTTTCTCTCAGATGAGCTCGGTGGGAATCACAGAAAATGTAAAGGGAGACATCAAGAAGTTTGAAATCTGGTACAATGGTAGAGAGGAAGTTTACATTGTTCAGGTACAGGACGCACATTTTTTATTATATTTTTATATTTTTATTAACAACATAAATCATTTTGAGTATGCAAAGTGGGGTCCAAACATATAAAAAGGTTTCTATTGACCAAATTTGAGGCTCTTATTTTCTGAAAATAATTCTCTATTGTTTTCTGAAAGCACCATGTTGTTCCATCTGTTGGCCATGAGAGGGAACTGTTGTCCCACAGCAGAAAGGTTCCCATTGTTATAACAGGTCCTACATTTTCTGTCAGGCCCCTTCGATGGAAGTGAAGAACAGGTGGGTGTCAGAGATCCGCAAAGTCTTGACAAGCCAGCTGGAAGCCTGCCGAGGTATTTCTGAGCAAACCTCCTTAAACTCTCCCTTCATGCAAACTCAGTCTACTAAAAAACTTGATACAAACTACCCTGGAGAAAACATTCAACTACCACGTAAAGCCAAAATTAATTGAGTTCACAATGACAACCTGAATCAACCTCATCTTCCTAACTTTTTTTGCATAAAAAATATTTATACAGCTCTTCTCAGAGCTTCGAAATACCTAAAGTGGATCTATCGGATGGAGATAGATGTTATCTCCAGTTTTTAGTTGTCATGGTTGCTTAGTAAAGGCACTGAAATCAACATCAAAGACCAAACGAATCCTGGAGGTGTTGTGTGTGCTGTGTGAATATAGTATGTGAACATTGAATAACCTCTGTATGACTTCTCTCGCTCTCGCTCTCTCTCTCTCTCTCTCTCTCTCTCACACACACACACACATGGCATAGAAGCCAGTCAACTCCATCAGAAGATTACAGAGAACATCTACCATGCTCCTATGAGGTATTTGTATAGCCATTTTTTTATTTTGCTATTATTTAACTGGCCCCAATGTTGTGTTTAGTGGATGTACTGTAAAGTCAACTTCCCTTATATGTACACAAGTGTTGAGTAACCATGGGTGTAGTTCTTCACATTAATGTTTGACACCCAGAAAGTTTTAATAAATAATTTTATATTTTGAACAGCATATCGTTTTGCTCTAGTACTGTAGTTTCATCTCCTGCTAGCTCCAAAACTGTCTCTGTTCAGTAGCTTTATTTTCACAGCTGTCTGCATCTAATAACAAACCAAATTACTCTTTGTTTGTACATGCAAACATAATATTTACTTATGGTGGATATAATACACTTCTGATTAATGCTGTACTAAGCACATTATGTCTTATTTAGATTTCTACAAACTACAATATTGTTTTATGGAAATTAGGCTAATCTGTTTACTTGATCTAATGTAAGAATATGACCAAATCCTGATTAATATCAAAACATTCTTGTGTATTTAAATGCAGTCAGTGTTCTTGTCAACCAAACATCAAAAGTTTGGGGTTTGTAAGATTTCTTTGTCTTTTTTTAAAAATGTCTTATTTTAATATATGTTATAATATATGTGATGGCAAAGCTGAATTTTCAGCGTCGTCATTACTCCAGTCTTCAAGGTCACATGATCCTTCAGAAATTATTCTGATATGCTGATTTGCTGCTCAAGAAGCATTTCTTCTTATTATCAGTGTTGAAAACAATTGTGCTGCTTCATATTTTTTGTGGAATCTGTTATTAATTTTTTGGGATTCATTGATGAATAGAAAGTTAAGAGGGGAAGTATTTATTTGCAATAAAATAATTTTATGCCCTTACTATGTACGTAACTTTTGATCAGTTCAATAAAATCTTGCTGAATAAAAGTATTAATTAAAAAAAATAAAAACATACTAAACCCAAACTTGGAACAGTAGTGTATATGCTTATATAGTTTTTACAGTTTTAAATGCAACTTTTTGGTGAAATACTTTTGATTGAAAATTGCTTGTGCTCTCTTTCTGCATGGGGCCACTGTATGCATGCAAACACATATTCTTGTGACATTAGCATCTGTTTTTTTACCGTTGTGTTCTGCTGACTTTGCTTTTATTGACAGAAATATGCGCAAAACAGCTCTCCGGCAGTCTGACTCTTCCAGTCCTGAAACAGGCTACAGGCGTGGTGATACAGGCCCAAATATGCGTCAAAAACGAGGTGAGAACCCTTATAAATCTCTTATAAAGGCAACCATTTCTCTAACCAACCAAACTTTCAGAGCCTGCAGCGGTCAACAAGCACTTTAATTTTCACTACTCATTTGTAGTGAAAGGCTATTTATCACCAAGTGTTGTCTGTCGTCTTCTCTCCTACTTACTTTTTAACCATTTAGTGCATTTTCCTTAATTAGGCCATTATCTCTAATCTCTGCTGTAATGGCTGTAAAATTGCCAACGGGTAATTGGTTACTGGTAAGCACTTTAAAGCTCTATTCCCCTTGGCAAGGTATTTTTGAGATGAAGCTCCGTTATAATGCTGAACGTATTGAGTCCTCTGCCGTTTCAGTCAGTCGCTCTGACCTGGACTGCTCTTGTGGAGGTGGTTTGGGGTAAATATCGCTCGGTTTGGTCTTACTGTCCTGTCAGGTTGCAGATTCTGAGTGAGTAAAGGATTGTGGCAGGTGTTTAGTTCCTCTGAGGATAGAAGTCCTCTCTGTGCTGACCCAGCGCCCCTGACAAACCCAGCCTGGAGGCAGAGGATTATGAGTCTCTGACCTGAGCTGGAGATGTTTTACACTTCTAAACATGACTCACCTTAGTCTTTGATGCCTCTGATACATCCATTATGGTATAGATTGATGCTTTTTTTTTAAAGGCTGCTGCCATTGCAATATCTAGAGAGCATAATACAGTATAATATAATGCAGATATTGTACAATTTATTCGCACAAATGAAATGAACATGAGATATTTATTTACTTTAACAAATATGTTTTAGGATAATTGTACTTTTAAATAAAGTACTATTTATTTGCTTAAAATCAAAATATGCAAATCAAAATATAAAAAGATTGGATTTAAAGATGAACAGTTTGGTTTTTAAAAGTGTAATTTAAGATTTTTTTTAAATGCTTTTGAGCTCACCAATAATGCGTTTATTTTAATCAAAATTCATTAAAATGATAAATTGTGAAATATTATTACAATTTCAAATTTTCTATTTTAATACATTTTTAAATATCATTTATTTCTGTCATGACAAAGCTGAATTTTCAGTGTCATTACTCCAGTCTTCACTGTCACACGATTCTTTAGAAATCATTCTAATATACTGATTTGCTGCTCAAGACATGTTTATTAGTATTATTATTATTATCGATGTTGTGCTGCTTAATATTTTTGCTGAAACCATGAAACATTTTTTAGGATTCTTTAATGAATAGAAGGTTCAAAAGAACAGCATTTATTTATAATAGTAATAAATAAATAAAAACTTTGTAGAATAATAAATGTCTTTACTTATTTTAAGCCCAGTTTTATCATTCAATCAAACCTCCAGGAACTTTTTTTTTTAAATATGTCAAATATGTGTCTTCTGCTGTATGTTTGTATACAGTATGACATGACTTATACATGTAGAATGAGATCCTGAATCTTGTTTTGTTTCAAAGATGGTCTAACATCTGGATAAATGGGGAAACATAACACCCAATATCACCTGAAGGGGTTAATACAACAAAAACAGCATATATGGGCCGCTCCATCACAGACAAAACTATTATTTTTCATAAATGCTTTTGAGCTCACCAATAATGCGTTTATTTTAATCAAAATTCATTAAAATTATAAATTGTGAAATATTATTACATGAATAGAAGGTTCAAAAGAACAGCATTTATTTATAATAGTAATAAATAAATAAAAACTTTGTAGAATAATAAATGTCTTTACTTATTTTAAGCCCAGTTTTATCATTCAATCAAACCTCCAGGAACTTTTTTTTTTAAATATGTCAAATATGTGTCTTCTGCTGTATGTTTGTATACAGTATGACATGACTTATACATGTAGAATGAGATCCTGAATCTTGTTTTGTTTCAAAGATGGTCTAACATCTGGATAAATGGGGAAACATAACACCCAATATCACCTGAAGGGGTTAATACAACAAAAACAGCATATATGGGCCGCTCCATCACAGACAAAACTATTATTTTTCATGGAAGATCATTTTCCCTGCTGTTCACCTCGCCCTCCACCATTCTCTACCTGCTGCTTTAACCGCAGCCCTGTCCTCCTCTCCTCTTCTAGCTGACGCTTCCGCCAGCCTCGGCTCGGAGCGATCTGTTCTCGCTAGAAAGCGCTTCACCTTACAGGGCCTGTCAAACCGCAGGTCTCTCCCCGCAGGTAACAGCACAGCATCATGGCTCGTCTCTATTCGGACTCATCCATCATCTCATCCTGGTGTGTGCCTGTTTTCCCTGTTGTTAAAATTCATTGTCATCACTCTTGTCAGTCGTCTCCGAGATCACTTAAGCCTTTTTTCCGACGTGAGTGACTTCTGAAAGAAACGTGGGACCCTCAAGAGCTTTGTCATCGCAGAATATTTGAATTCTCAGAGAATTCTATCTGTCTGTCTGTCTGTCTGTCTGTCTGTCTGTCTGTCTGTCTGTCTGTCTGTCTTCATTAGATGACTTACTGTTATCACTTCATTGGTCTATATCTGTCTATCTGTCTGTCTGTCTGTCTGTCTGTCTTTCTGTCTGTCTGTCTTCATTAGATGACTTACTATTATCACTTCATTGGTCTATCTATCTATCGATCTATCTATTTGTCTGTCTGTATGTCTTCATTAGACGACTTACTATTATCACTTTTTTGGTCTATCTATCTATCTATCTATCTATCTATCTATCTATCTATCTATCTATCTATCTATCTATCTATCTATCTATCTATCTATCTATCTATCTGTTTGTATTTCTTCATTAGACGACTTACTTTTATCTATCTATCTATCTATCTATCTATCTATCTATCTATCTATCTATCTATCTATCTATCTATCTATCTATCTATCTATCTATCTATCATCTTTATAAGATTATAAGATATCACTTTATTGGTCTATCTATCTATCTGTCTGGCTGGCTGGCTGTCTATCTATCTATCTTCATTAGATGACTTACTATTATAGTAAGTCAGAGACTAGCAGAAAAGCAATTGGAGACACTGAGAATTGACGTGAGGTTTGAACTCTACCTCCCATATGAGCACCATTGCTAAACAGAGCTAACTTTAGTCCACCTCAAATAAGTTTTCGCATGCAATCTTCTGTCTCTCATTTGACCACTTCATCCTGTTTTCTTATTAACCAGACTAACTACTAACCCACCCCTGCCTTTCACTTCAGAACCCACACCTAAGGAGACAGAGGTCACACGCCGCTTTTCTTTAGCCTCAACTGTCAGCAATAAAGGTACAAAAACTGCTTGTGCAGGATCACCTCTAAGCATGTTTCTAAATTGTTTTAGCCGGGCCAGAAGACATAAAACCCCTGAAAGCGGCACAATAGAGCACTCCCATTATAATATCAGCGTGCCATGTTTGCATATTGGAGTTTGCTTGCTGCATTGTTAGCATGCCGCTTTAAATCTCTTTGATAAAACCTGTTCTGTGGCCATAACAATAACAAAATGACCAAAAAGTATTTTTGTCATCATTACTCCACTCCTTAATGTCATACAATCCTATAGAAATAATTTTAATATGCTGACTTGGTGCAGCATATTAAATAGTTATGCTTAATGTTTTTGTGGAAACTGTAATAAATTTTTTTCAGGATTCTTTGATGAATAGAAAGTTTGAAAGAGCAACATTATTTAAAATCATTCGATCATTCATGCGATCATTCAAAAATAGCCGCCTGTCATTACTGAATGTCCTGCTCCACAGGAGGGCTGGGTGGGCCTGTCCCGCATATTCAAAAGTTGAGCACTCAGTTTCCCAACTCTCTGGCCTGCCCTGAAAGTCCTGTGGTGCACCTTACACCTGGGCCTTTTACACAGAGACTGGCATTGTTAAATTTTTTCATATTTTACTATGAACCTTTGACATCCCAAGCTTCTTCATTACAGCTCGAATGAAATCAAACCGTGCACTTCACAGCAAATGAATCCCCTAAAAAACATGAAGGGACAGGTGCATTGAATAATAAATACTGACTTGATAAGCTGACATTTGGGATGTGGCGTGACATTTAGCAGTGTAGCCCCGCTGCACAGCTCTGGGAATGTAAATGAGAATTTAGATGCACATGAGCCTTTTGTTTCTTGTGGCCCCATTATTCTCTTTTATTGTAATGAAAGCGTTGCCACTGCAGGGGAATAATGAAAGATTATTGTGATAATTAATCTTGGATGGATAGGTTGAGAGATTGTGGTAGATGAGCTGGACTTCTTTTCTAAAAGAAATGCATGTTTGTGCTTAGTTCCTCTCTCCTCTAGCCTTAAGAGCAAGAGGCATCAGATCAAGAGCGACCCTACACCGTTCGGCTATGAAGGTACCACGTGGACAGCACGGCATGCTGCATGTTGAACATAGTCCTTGTAAGATATTTGTGGGTTTGTTTTTATTCATTTATTGTTTATAATAAGTGGCCAGATGTTTTTTATTCAAAGCAACCCCACACTGTTTGCAAGGACATAATTGTTCTGGAATAACTTGGAGTTAAGGGTACAATGCAAATTTGTGATCTTACAAAATCTGTTTATTTATAATTATTAATGATCATTTAATTATTATTATTTTTTTACATGCATTTATTGTGCAGTTTATTATTTAAAAAATAAATAATTATTATTGATAATTATTATAAATACAATTATTAGGAATAATTTAATATTTACATATACACATCCATTTATTTATTAGTTGTTTATGTATAAGTATTGTTGTTGTTGATATTAATTAAAAGGATATTTTTTCACATGTATTTATTTCTGAAATTATTTTGTAAATATTACTTTTTGTTATTATTATTTTTATTTACTTCCATTAGCAGGGCTCAACACAAAATATAAGGTTGATAAAAAAAAAAAAATTAAAAAAACATTACTATGAATAATGTAATATTTATATATCTTTACATGCATTTATTTAGCATGTGTGTATCATTTTATTATTGTTGTTATTTATTTAAAATTATAGTTTTCACATTAATATTTATTTCTGAAATGATTTTGTAAATATTACTTTTTCTTATTTATTATATATATATACATAACACTGCTCAAAAATATTTTTTAAATATGTATTTTTAATAATAATGTAATGTTTATAGTTTTACATGCATTAGTTTAGCAAGTGATTATAATTTTTTTATAATTATTATTATTAATAATATTATATTATTATTACAAATAATTTGTATAAATGCTTTTTAATTTGAAAAACATTTTACAATGTTTTAATTTTTTCCTTTTTTTAATTTTTTTTCTTTCTCAGAATGTTATTATTTTTTTTTAATGCATTAATATATTTAAACTCCACAGTTATTATAATTATACAAGAAACTACAAGAGCAATAAATTGGTATAAATGGCCAAACATTACTGATTTGTCATTTCCAAATCATTCTTACCATTTTCGAAAAAGTCTCATATGTTGCTGAACCTGCATTAATCTTAAAAGGGTGGTTCATAGCGATTTCACTTTTTTAACGTTAGTTAGTGTGTAATGTTGCTGTTTGAGCATAAACAATATCTGCAAAGTTACGAAGCTGAAAGATCAATGCAAACGGAGATATCGTCTTTTAAAAT